TTTTTCACCAAAATCCTATTGCAATTATATTCGTTTAGAGGGGTGCGGTTTGTGAACCTCTAGGCAACTATCGACGATTCAAGGCACTGGTTTGTGGCTTATCGACAATCGAGACACGCGATCTTCATCATTGGTGCTTTCTTTGAGAGGGTTTAGATCGTGTGTCTTTTTCTTCCCCATTCTTTTTCTTTCTCTCTTTTATTTTCGTTTGATTAAAAAAAAAAAGGGTTATATATATACATATAGCTAGTTGGCGTAAGTATTAGTAGTAGGATTGTTATTTTTTTTAGTTTGGAATTCCCGTGAGTAATAAAAAAAAAAAGTTTTATTTGTTTTGTTTGAGTGCCGTGAGTTTGGTATTAAAAAAAAAAATCTCTTATTTATTTGTGTAGTAGTGTGCGTGAGTTTTTATTCAAAAAAAAAAAAAAAAAAATCTTCATCACGAGTCCTCGAAGTAAAGAGCGAAAGCAAGAGAAGAAAGCCATGGCCAACAAGGAGATGAAGGACAAGATCGATAATCTCGATGCTCAGGTCCGTACTATGAGCGAAGGGCTTGACACTACCAAGGCCACGGTTCAAGAGCTGATGGAAATCATGAATCGCCGCTTTGATGAGATGGCACGCAACATCGCGGAGCAACAAACCCCTCGGCAGCAAGACCGGGCGCATCACGATCACGAGCGGCACCACAACCGCGAGCGGCTCGAGGATCAACGGCGCGAGGAACGGGAGCAGCGACAAGCGGACTTCGAGCGGGATGACGACTTCGACCAGCGGTCCCAGGCTTCCAATTACTATGACCGGCCGAAGCCCGTCAAACCACGACTCACGTTGTCCACCTTCAACGGCACAGATCCTGACGCATGGCTTAACCGAGCTGTGCAATATTTTGAGCTTAATGAGACTGATGGGCATGACCGTGTAAGGTACGCTGCTTACTATCTTGATGGGGAGGCCAACTTATGGTGGCAATGGCTTGTGAGCAACTACCAAGGCAACCCACTCCACATCCGATGGGAAGAATTCGAACGCGAATTACTTGCTCGATTTGGGTCATCCGACTATCACAACTACGACGAGGCGCTCTCACACATCAAACAGACGGGGAGTCTTCGGGACTACATGAAGGAGTTCGAGCGTCTCGCCTGTCGGGTGCGCAACTGGCCGAGTTCGGCGCTCATCGGGACCTTCATAGGAGGGCTTAAATTTGAGATAGCAGCAGAAGTAAGGCTCGACCGCCCACAGACCATGCGCGAGGCCATGGAGTCTGCGCGAAGGAGGGACGAGCACTTAACGGCCACACGGAGGGTCGGGCGGGAGATTGTGCGCAACATGGAGCAACAGCGCGCGGACCAACGCTTGGACGAGCGCGCTATGACAAACGACGCACCATCAAACATGAGCAACGTCCATACCAACCCTCGACCACCGAACAACTTTCAAACGCCACCTCCGAGCGTTAAACAACTCACGTTCAAGGAGATGAGACGTCGACGTGAGAAAGGTCTCTGCTACAGATGCGAAGAAAGATTCACCCCAGGCCATCAATGCAAACAACTTTTTCTGATCGACGTCATCGAGGAAGACGAGGAAGAGGCCTATGAGGACCAGCCAGCGCAGCAAGTGAACGAAGATTTGGAGATATCGGTTAATGCAATGGCAGGCTTACAAGGGCCGAGAACAATCCGACTGCCCGCCATGATCCAGGAACGGCCAATTGAGGTACTAGTCGACACCGGCTCATCGCATAACTTCATTTGCGACCGAGTACCCAAGGACTTAAAGCTTAAGGAAAATAAGGTGAAACCGTTCGATGTAAGGGTTGCCAATGAAGAGCGGCTAAGATGTCAAGAATATTATCGGGAAGTACCCATCAACCTGCAAGGTGAGATCATCAAAGCCGACCTCTATGCACTACCTATTGTGGGGCCCGAAATAGTCCTTGGAATTCAATGGCTTGAAGGACTTGGAGAAGTCACTACAAATTATAAGAAAGGCATAATGGAATTCTACTCGGGAAATCGACTCGTCATTCTAAAAACCGAACCAAGGGGAAAAAGCCGAGAAGCCGAAATGAGGAGTTTGGAGATAGCCCCAATCCTTGAGGACAAGGATGTGCTTAAAGGGGGCGAAAATGATACGGAAGCGATAATCGAGCCCAGCGAATGTGAAGATTGGTCGGGAATGGCCAATAGGCGAATAGGCGGGAGGCGCGCATCGGGCGGTGATGCGCGGCCAATGGACGTACACAGGCGTGCATGGGCGATGGGCGTGCGCAGTGTGCGTGATGACGGACGAGGAGCTGAGCGGGCAAAAGGAATCCGCGTCCCAGCAGGCCAAGGAATAGTGAGCGCACGCGGGCGCGATCGCGAAGGAATCGGCCGAAAACGGGGTAGCACGCAGGGGACGGCCGCACAAAGCACTGGCGTACGCAGCACGCCGGGGACACAACACGCGCGCGAAGAGGCGGTGCCCTAGTCCTCAAGGACTAGGGCATGCGAGGCGGTTGGCGCGAGGGCGGCGTGCGAGGGGGGTGCGAGAGAGGGAGAGAGAGAGTGCTTGGAGTGCAAGTAACTTGGAGATCAAGACCTTATAGTTTATTAAGATTCTACTAGATATTTACTTTCCTTATTGCTTTATAATATCTAGATTGTTTAGGATACTTAGTATTCTATTGCTTTATTAGAGTTATAGTTATATTAGGATTAGATCTAGTTAGTGCCTATATAAAGGCCCCTTCCCTATGTTATTTTTCATCATCCAAGATTTAATAGAAATCAAGAACTTTTGTTCATTCTCTCTTTGCTTTAGTTTTTTCACCAAAATCCTATTGCAATTATATTCGTTTAGAGGGGTGCGGTTTGTGAACCTCTAGGCAACTGTAGACGATTCAAGGCACTGGTTTGTGGCTTATCGGCAATCGAGACACGCGATCTTCATCACGCGCGCGACAGCGCGCGCGTAGAATGACCGCGCGCAAGGCGCCGAGTCCGCCGAGGACTAGGACTCGCGAACGCGCGCGCAAGTGAGGCGGCGTTCAAAGGGGCGGCCGAGAGTTTTGAGCATGTAGAATATTAGGGAGAATTCTAGAATTGTTTGGTGTGCAAGCCAAGCATTAGTTATGTAACACCCCGCCTTACTAGTAAATCAGAGTTGCGCGTTTAATCGCAAAGTCTGTGAAAACTAAAACATTTTTACTTTGCGAAACTGATTTGGGGTGCTACCGTGAAAATCTTTACTTATCTGTAGAAAAACCGTTGTTTTAACTTATTATAACGTCCAGTTATTTAAAACTTTATTTTTCTAAAAAGTTCGTCAAAGTACGATAAAACTGTTAAAATCATCAAACCATCGTCAAAAGATAGTTCAAAAGTAAGCGGAAGCATGAGTAATAGTTATACAGTCCAAAACATATAAACAAATGTCCTGAATGTCCCGAGCTGCTCCCGTCATGTCACACCGCCGGCCCGACCTGCTGACCTGAAAAGATAGATATAACTGGGCGTGAGCACTAGGCA